GGGGGTACAAAAATGACATTTCTAGTATAAAAGTTAAACAACAGTATTAAAATAAAGTATAAGTAAAAATATATTAACAGACAGTGTAAAATATATGTAAATTGTGACATTAATCACATAAACTGGGGGGTATTAAAAGTGTAGAGATTTGCAGGTGATTAAAGTTGTTATCAGCTTAAACTAGACTGTTACAAGATATTTTACATAAGCCCTATAGTATACAGTAACCACAAAAAACCTGTAGATGTTACATAAAGAAAAAAAATAAAGGAACCAAACTATACAAAAAAGAAGGAAAAAACAAAGAAGACAACGGGATAGGAAAACAGGAACAAAAAACTGTAAGACAAACATAAAACAATGAACAAAAATGACAATAGTAAGTCAGTTCTTATCAATAGTTACTTTGAATGTGAACAGATTAAACTCGCCAGTCAAAGACTTAGAATCACTAGATGGATTTAAATAAGAATATCCAACTCTGTGCTCTCTAAAAGAATCTCACTTCAGATTTAAGGACACACAGAGGCTGAAAGCATATGGATGGAAAAAGGTACCTCAAGCAAATGGTAGACGCAAGAGAGGGATCACTATACTTAGACAAAATAGACTTTAGGTCAAAAATTGTTATGAGAGACAGGAAGGATGCGATACAGTCATAAAGGGAGCAACCCACCATGATTATATAACAACTATACATATATATACCCAACGCCAGAGCACATAAATATATAAAATTGACATTGACAAAATGGTCAATTAATCTTCGACACAGGAGCCAAGAATATACAGTGGAGAAAAGACAGCCTCTTGAGCAAGTGGTGCTGGGAAAGCAGGACAGCCGCATGTAAATCAGTGAACATAAAACACTCCAGAACACAATGTACAGAGATAAATTCAAAATGATTTAAAGACTTAAGCATAAGATAATACCTTATAAAACTCCTAGAAGAAAACACAGGGAAAACATTCTGTGATATAAATCTCAGCAGTGTTCTCCTAGAGCAGTCAACCCAGGCAATAGAAATAAAAGCAAAAATAAACAAATGGGGTCTCATTAAACTTACAAGCTTTTACGCAGCAAACTAGAAACAAAACAAAAAAACAACCTACAGAATAGGAGAAAATATTTGCAAGCGATGCAACTAACGAGGGCTTAATTTCTAAAATGTACAAACACCTTGTACTACTTAATAACAAGAACAACAACCCAGTCAAAAACTAGGTAGAAGACCTAAACAAACATCTCTCCAATTAAGATATAAATGGCCAATAAGCATAGGTCAATATGCTCAATATCGCTAATTATCAGAGAAATGCAAATCAAAACTACAATGAGGTATCACCGCACATCAGTCAGAATGACCATCATTAAAAAGTCCACAAGCAATAAAAGCTGGAGAGGGTGTGGAGAAAAAGGAATGTGGCAGGAAGGTAGTTTGGTGCAGCCATTAACAAAAAAATAGAGATTTCTTAAAAAGTGAAAAATAGAGTTGTCACATGATCCAGCAATCCCACTCCTGTTCATATAATCACAGGAAACTCTAATTTGAAAAGATACATGCACTCCAATGTTCACTGCAGCACTGCTGACAATAGCCGAGACACAGAAGCAACGTAAATGTCCATCAACAGATGACTAGATAAAGAGGTTGTGGCATATGTATACAATGGACTACTACTCAGCCATAAAAAAGAATGAAATAATGCCATTTGCAGCAGCATGGATGGATATGCAGATTGTCATACTAAGTGAAGTAAGTCAGAAAGAGAAAAAAAAATGCCACATAACATCACTTACATGTGGAATCTTAAAAATGGACATCAATGAACTTATTTACAAAACAGAAACAGACTCACAGACATAGAAAATAAAACATCATGGTTTCCAGGGGACAAGAAGGGTGGTGGTGGAGGGGTAAGTTGGGAGTTCAGGATTTGCAGATACTAACTACTACATAAAAAATAGATACACAACAGGTCTTACTGTGTATCACAGGGAACTATATTCAATACCTCGTAATGAAAATTCAGTACTTTGTAATAGCTTCTGATGAAAAAGGAATGTATATAATGAAATATCCCTTTTCGTATACTAAGTGAATCATGCTGCTGTATATCAGAAACTAACACAATATTGTAAACTGACTATACTTCAATTAAAAAAAAGAAAGAGAGAACACTTTCAAATTCACTTTATGAGGCCTGCAATTTTGTGATACCAAAGCCAGACAGAGACACCACAAGAAAGAAGAGTTCACGTCAATATACCTTATGATGACATATGCAAAAATCCTCAGTAAAATACTAGCATAACAAACTCAACGGCACATTAGAAGTATCATACGTTATGGCTACGTGGCATTTATTCCTCTGACGCAGGGATGGTTCAACATGTAAAATT